TAATAATTAATTGTTTTTTCTTATTTTCATTATTTTATTTAATAATAATAGGAAAAATTTTAAATTGTAAGTTATGGAAATTTTTACATTATTTTAAGGAATGCAATTTTCTACAAAAATCAAAATTTTAATCCAATAGTTTCTGAGAAATCGAATTTTAAAAAAGTCTCTGATTTAACTGCATAATGAATCAGATAAAATATGATAATCAGTGCTGCTCTCGATTGAGAAATTTCTTGAAATATTGCTCGACTGGCAAATATATAGTTCCGATTTAAATTTTAATTAATAAATTTAATTTTGATTTAAATATTGATAGTTAGTTAGAGTTTTACAATTATTAAACAATACACATGCACTAAATTGTATGTAAGTTGTATTTACTTTTTTAATACTTTTTATGTAATACTGTGTCCAGTCAATATAGGCCATTAAAATAATAAAATAACTATTTGATATTTAAAAACAATATTAAGACATAAATTTTCGCACCAATGCTAAATAATATTATCAGCGAAAACAACATTTACGAGTTTTTCAGTAACCTAATATTAAGTTGAAAAAAAATGCGAATGGAGTTGCAAAAGGAGAATGCTTGAATTTTATCTAAATATAATCAGAAGCTTAATATGTTGAACCAAATCTACGTGTCAATGAAATAAAAATGAAAATTAAATTATATATATATTAAATATATTATATATATATTTTATTTCGTTATATGAAATTTTACTTACTTATGCCCTATTCAGAGTAAGATTTATAACTTTTAATTTCTGAAAAACATTTCTTACAATTAAAATGAAAGAAATGATATGCTTTTAATTGACAGAAAAATTAATAAATACTTATTTTTCATTCCAGAAAGAAACATTAAATTTCGGTTCTCTTAAAAATTGGTATAAAGTAATAAATCTGATCATATATTTTTTTGTGATATTTAGCAGTATAAATAAAATATAAAACTTCTTGTTTATATTTATTCAATAAGTTAAGCATGTAATTTTAAATGTATCTTTAACACGTATTTAAAAATTCGAAACGTATAATTGTATGATAAAAGAATAGTTTTTTATCCCCAAAGCAGCTTGTTTCAGAGAGGGAAAAGGCTTTCCCTACCTGTTAAACTTAATGGGCAAAAATTATGAAGCATTCAAGCTAGCATACATTATATTATCCTTTGAAAATCGTAGATGCTAATGATATCATTTTAAAACAAATCAGTAATGATTACATCTAAATATTAATCAAAGAAGGAATTANAAAAAAACATCAGTGTAGGGTTAAAATATCGAATAAATGTAATTATATCCACGAATAAATTCATATCAAATCGAATGTAATAAATATTTCGGACATTCACCAAAGCATATCTGTGATTGTCGACATACACCGGTGAGGGTCCGAATGTACAAGAATGTAATGAAATATTCGATCTTTCACCGACGTATTTGGTGTTTGTCGATATTCACCGGTGAAAGTCAACAACCACAAATTTCGGTCTTTCGCCGTGACATATATATATATATATATATAATTTAATTATTTTTAACTTTGACGTAAGGCTGAGATACCTTGGTTGGCAGGGCGCTGGACTCACGTTCGTGCGGTCAAAAACAGCTAGTGTAGAAAATGGGGACCGGTGCACGTTAAATCTGACGGCTCACAAAGTCCTCCATGTTCCCATAACAAATTTTACCTATAGGGGGTACTGGACTGGAGATTGATCATTCTCGGGTTCAGGTCAAAAATACAATCTGTGGATGAATGAATGGGTCCGCCCTATAAACGGGTGTGGTAAAAGTCGAATTGTTCGCCCTAGATGGTGCCTGTGAAAAACAAGAACAATTGCTTCTCCTCTGCTGTAGTGATCGATGCCAATAACAACAGCAACTTTGATGTAGCTAACAGCTAGTTTATTTTTCAAAATGAAAATGATTGCAATCGAGAATGAATTATAAGAGTTGGTGAGTGAAACGCGTAAGAGTCGGAGCTTCCTAATGATGCTATAAAAGTTTAGTTCCATAAAAGTTAATTTCTATGATAGTAATATTAAAAATGAATGAAATGATGTATGAAGCCGTGGCCAAAAACGTTTTCAAGAGTTCGTCACTACTGAAAAAAGGCATACTATATGGTCAACATATAAGTAACAGGGAGATGATAAAAAAAAGGATGTTAAAATAAATACTCTCTGGGGTGATTTCCCTAAGGAAAGCAAGGTATTTGATGATATCCCTTAACTGTATTGGTGAAATGAACAAGTCAGCACTCGCATAGCTCTGTTTCATTTGTTACCACACCCTTAAAGCTTTCCTCTCCCTTCGATGAATGAAAATATTAGTGTAGAGATGCGGTTATTGATATAGATGCGGTTATTGTTTTTGATTATCAGATTGACCAAGGGAACAAAGTGTCATTGCATTACACTAGTGTTTCTTATTTTTACATGCCACACTGCCTAACACAAATTTCCTGGTATATCCTACACTGAGGTATTTAGTATGATTAAGTGCCACGGTCAGGTATACGTTCATGGATATTTTAATCAACTTACTTACTTACTTATACAGTACTACAGTCCGTTGTGAGCCTTGGCCTGGTGAACTATATCATTCTAGGCTTTTAACTTCTACTTTTTCACCTTCAAGGCTGTCAGATCTTTGGTGGTATCATCCAACCATTTATTTTTCGATCTTCCCTTTGGTCTCGAGTTCAAAAGTTTCTAATTTAAACATTTCCTTAGATTATGAACCCGACTTAATGACTACTGATACCGATCGACATGGTTATTGTTATTAATAATGCGTGATTATTAATATTAACTGATTAATTATATCGACTGTAACATTTAAGCAATGTTATTTAATCTTTTCGCTAAAGCTGTTATAGAATTTGATTGAAATATTTACTGCCTTTAGCGAAATAATTCCACAGATCATCCAATTTAGGGATTTAATCAAATCTCCGTTTTTACCATCTCCCAGAGACATATATAAAAGCACAGTATAGAAAAAAGCACAAATATTAAGAAATAATTGTTTGTTTTTCTCTGTGCCACAGCTGATTTGCATAGTTTAGTAAAAGATTTAAAATCTTAACCACAAAAATAGGTTCATGAAGATATACTAGTGTAATAGTCTTGGAATAATTTATGCAAAAATAGCAATGAATAACGATAAAAATTTTTGAAAATAAATATAATCCTTAAAATATTATTATTATTATTATTAAGTAGTGCTGCCATTAAATATTTAAAATGTATTTCTCAATTGCATAAATGCTTTTTTGTCTACTTAGCTGAAATGTAGTTGAATGAGCTTTAGAGACTCAGAGTTAATTCAACCATGATTGAAAGAAATGAAAATTATACAGAATGATCCAGCCAAAAATCTGAGATTAAGAAAATATTAAAGAAAGTAAAATATAATAAAAAATGGAAATTAAGACATTTTTTTTTAGAAAAAAGGAGCCTCTAATTAATGCGTGGTACATTGGTCGAATGCTAGAATTCCGCTGGGGAAAAAAGAACGATTCATGAGCTTAATCTAGATAGGAAACTAGGATTCAGAGGAAAAATAATCAAAAATATGGTTCTATTTGATAAGAATTTTACACATACAAAAGGGACTGATGGCTAATGCTCTTAGCAAAACAAAATATATGACGTGATTACGCCTTCTGGTAATTTAAGAAATGATTAAACATGACGAATTCTATAAATTTTACAGTGATAATTAAGTAAGAAACTTATAATTTTCCTTTTCCTTACGATAACTACATTTCATTTTATGATGTTTAATTTTTGAGTTTAACGTAAAGCATTTGGTAATGTAGTATTTCGTGGAATTTTAAAAGTAAATTGCGTTTTATATGGATAAACATAATCTTCATGCATGTTATTCTTATTTACTAAACGAAACGAAAGAAAGCACTTATTTCAATCTTTCGATATCACGCAACTTTTCAGTTTGCTTAGTATAAAGATAAATTTGAGAATGACACGCACTAAATTGTAATTTGAAATATACTGTCCTAAATAAAGAGACAATTATTGTTGGTATAGAATAAGCGAGAATATGATTGGAAGAAATATATACATTTTCTCGCTGCATTTGATAATTTGCATTGAATAAGTAATTTGTATTGAATAATTTGTAATGAATTAGTATCTTATACTACATAATTCGTAAACAAAATGAAACGTGCATTAAATTGCTTTTTCAAACCTGGTAACAATTCATAAAATAGCAAAAGTGATTCCAATCACAAATTCATGCAGATTTAAAATGGTGCATTAAAAGGACTAATTGGTTTTCAGAAATTTGTTAAATGTAAATCCATAGCATATACTTTTGTTAAGTAAAATGAAGTTAAGTAAAATAAAGTTCGTATACCTCGAAAAATCTAGATCTCAGGAGAATAATTAAAATAAATGGTTCGTTCCTTATGATTTTTTTAAGAAAAATATTGCCTATTTAGCTAGGTGGCTAGAAACATAATTTTGAAGTAATTAACTGACAAAGTTAACAGACAGATAACACAGTTAACAGAATTTTACAAATGGATTTATTCTATCAAAAAGTAGCATTGAATTTGAAGAAAGCATTTTGGTTTAACAAATTTCTGCTCTTTATTTTAAAGTTTCTTGGATGCTTGTCCTTCAAATCAACGACACGAGCCTTCTCGGAACTTTGGTTAATTTGGCCAATTTTCACGTTTTCTCTTCAACTTTTTGCATTTGTAATAACAGGTATAGCAACTGTGCACGTTTTCTGTTGCGACTCGTCTGGTGACACTGCCCTAACCTTGAGAAGAAGCTATCCTAACATAATTCTCGGTCATTACCTTGTTTACAACTTCATCTTATTGATACAAAGAAAAAAACTAAATAAACTATTACACAACTTGCAGTCAGTCACCAAACAAAAATACTTAAAGGCATCTAGATACAGAGCCTTATTGAAATGTTTGGCACTAATCGTCTTTGCTATAGTTGGTGTGATCTGTTCAAAAATTAGCACTTGCGCTCAAAAAAAGAAAATGTTTCAGGAGCTTGGTCGAATTTCTCCACCCTGCTACGATGCATATTCAATAGCAGATTACGATATAGTTAACAGTGCTATTTTCGATTCATACAAGTACTCCAAAGCTATTTTAGAAGCAGCATCGTTGAGTCACAGTGTTTTTGGATTACTTTTTATAGAAGTCTGGGTATCAAATATATTTTTTATATTAAAATTGGCATTTGAGTGTTCTCACAGAACACTTGTAAAAGTTTTGAAGAATAAAGAAGGTATTTTTAATTCGGATTTCCAAGACTGGAAGGAAAATTACATTGTTCTTGTTAACTTAAGTCGGAAAGCTGATTGCTTTCTTTCCCCACTTGTGTTTAGCCATGTTCTGATCACGCCTGTTTTGCTTTGTCTCGGAGGGTTTCAACTTTTGCAGATGCATCAAGAACTTTTCATGAAGGGTTTTGACAGTAAAGCTGTGTCTTATTTTCTGATTGTCTTTTGCCTGTATAGATTGTCAAATCTATGTTTTGCTGGAGATGAATTGAAGGCAGAGGTATGTGGTATTTTTGAGATTATTATATTTAGCGAAAATTAAGCATTTAAATTACTCATAAAAAATCTAATGTAGACATTATATGATTTTGAACTGATAATATCCAGAAACAGTTGTGTTGAACTTAAGTTTCCACATATCACACCAAATAATTTTACATTTCAGTATGTTTCCTAAAAATTATTAAATTATTTTTAGTTGTTAAGAAAACGATAGGTTTTCTATTTGAATACCACCTTTGGAAAAAAGAACTTTAAAGTACTGATCAGTTCCTAAAATAAACTTTAAGTTTCTTAAAGCAACTAAATCTTATTTTCTTAAAGCAACTTTTTATTTCTTAAAGCAATTTTCTTATTTAAACTTATTTTAAGTGCTTTGATTTTTTAATTTCATTAATCTTATATTTAAAACTTTTGATGAAAAATATGTTCTTATTATTAATGTTTTGTTAATCAAATAAAGTCCAAAAAAGTCTTTTTTTATTCAAGTATAATCTTGAGATCATCGTGTTTGGAAGCCAAGGAATAAATAAATAATCTAACAATGAATAGCATATTTTCCTGTTATAAGTTTTCGTAATATTTCTATCTGTTAAAGACTGTTATCCAGTGTTATATGGAACGCTTTGCAAAACCATGCTCGCTTTGATTACTACTAAGTTGAACCCATTAGAAATGTGCTCTGGTGTAAAATCTTAAGAATTTGAATCAATTATTAAACTAATTCCTCTTAAAAATTAAAATTTTTAATTACATTTTTCAGTCTATCTAGTTATCGAATGTTTCCTTCTGTTCTGGAAGCACACTTTTTACATTAAACTTAAAAAGCACTACAGCACGACTAGTATTCATTTTTACCTAAATAATTAAAACACAAAATAGAACACTTAGTTTGTTAATATGAATTCGCGCTTAACCTTTCAATTTTTCTGAAATTATAGCTCAGTTTATTTCAACCTTTCTTGATAACGAGAGAAAAAGAATTTTTATTCAGAAATTGATAAATATGTATGTATACGCTTTCATGCTATAATAGCTCACATGCTTGATATTTTAATTCTTTATTGCCAACGTGGAAAAGACTTTTCTTCGATGTGTAAGAGGAAACTCTCTCTCTCTGTATATACATATATATATATATATATATATATATAGTAGTATATA